CCCAAGCCTCAGGGTTTAGGGTTTAGGATTTAGGGTGGTTTAAGGTTTAGGGTTTGGGGTTGAGGATTGAGGGTTTAGGGTTTAGGATTGAGGGTTTAGGGTTTAAGGTTTAGGATTGAGGGTTTAGGGCTTAGGGTTTAGGATTGAGGGTTTAGGGTTTAGGATTGAGGGTTTAGGGTTTAAGGTTTAGGGTTTAGGACTGAGGGTTTAGGGTTTAGGGTTTAGGGTGGTTTAAGGTTTAAGGTTTAGGGGGGGGGGCTCTTTCAGTCAAAGAGGGACGGCTTTAGGGCTTACCCATAGGCCCAAAAGTAGCTCCGTTTTAGGGTTCATATTTAGAATGCAAGGAACTACTTAGGGGCCTATGGGTAGGGCTTAGGGTTTCGGCTCTTCAATGACATGGGTTGTGTCAGGGTTTTGCACGAGCTTCAGAGCTAAGAACCTGATGCGTATTGCAAGAGAAGTTCTCTAATCATGGAATAGCCCCTGCTTAACAGATCTTTTTATCCACAGGCTCCGTAGTAGTTCCTTTTTGGGATTGCCTTATAGGGTTCTAAACATAAACCACAAAAAAAAGGAACTACTTAGGAGCCTATGGGTATGCCCTGTAGCTTTAGGATCACCTTGCTTCAATAGTAGTCTCCCTCCTGAGGCCCTCCAGAACTAGCAGCCCCCCCCCCATGCCCAAACCAAGCCCTCATCAGTTCAAAGTCTATTAGAAACATCCCTTAACCATAAACCCTCAACGCTCAACCCTAAACCCCTAATTAAAGCCCTAGACCTGAAACCCTAATTGTTGATGAATACGTGTCTCTATAAGAGCCAGCAAGGCTTTCCCAAAGTGCCACTTGGAAAAGTACAAGAAGTAACGAGACTAACCTTACCCGCCCCGGTACCATTTTACAATTTGTGTTGACACCCCTAAACCCTACACCCTAAACTCTGTGTTCTCTAGGGCACAACTACGGCCGGGATTAGGATTCAAGGTTGTAGCGCTTTTAGGGGTTCACCTTGCCAAGGCCACACTAACAACGAAACCATGATACTGTTGATGATATAAATCCTGCATTACCTTGAGGACCCTAAACTATGGGAGTTATGGTAGATTCCTTATAATGGGTAATGCAGGATTCATATCATCAACCCTACGGAATCCTAAAGCGGCAGTTTGTCGGGGCTACCCTGGGGTATTTACTGCTGTAAACTCTCGACAACTCCAGGGAGCCATCATCCCGTCCAAGCTCTGCTCTTTAGCCGCCTGGGATGCAATTCAGGGTTTAGGGTTTAGGGTTCAGGGTTTAGGGTTGAGCCTTTACGGTTTAGGAAGCAAGGCTTTCACTAGTGTTGCGGTTTGAGGCAAGGCTTTCACTGGCTTGGCGGTTTGAAGTAATCTAATCCCTGACCTTGCACGCACTCGCTTTTCTCTTCAAAACACGAGAACATGCGACTCACCCTTACCCTAAACCACGAAGCAGTTGAGGAAGTTGAGCCCCTGTGTCCAGACCCCAGGACCCTCATATAGGGCCGTAACAATTAGGCCAACGAATTTTGGAAATACCATTGCTTACGTATGACAGGGAAAGCTAAGAAATTGCTTTGGTAATTATCCAGGCCCCAAATTTACATAGTGCAGTTTATTTAGTCAAAAGGCTGGCAGAGCTGATATTTGGGTAACTGTCAAAATCATGTCCCCTAAACCCTAAACCCTAAACCTTAAACCCTTGAAGGAACACTATAGAAATCTGTTCTTAATAGGGCACTCTACGGCTTCGGAACCCAAGAGAAACCCTCATTTGGACAACCACCCTTATCTCTTTGTAACGAAAGTTCCTGCTAAGCCTGAAGTAGCCCTAAGAAACCCCAATTTGGACATCCACCCATATGTATCCATATATATACATATATATATATACACATGTTGAAAGTTACTGCTAAGCCTGAGTAAACCAGAGATAAACCCTGGACCAAAGCCCAAACTCAAAACTCTAAGCCCGACCTGGGAAGCGTGAGAGCAACAAAAGGATCCGAAAACCTGAAAGCCCGAATGCTAAACTAAACCCTAAGCACCATCGCCTACCACCTTTACACACATAGATACACCTTCGAGATCCTACACAAAACTCTGCTTTAGGTACTTAGCAAGTAGGGTCATAAATCCCGTCATTGGCGCTGCAAGGGAAAAATTCACAAAATGTAACACAATTACCGAATTGCTCACAAAGTCCCATGATCCTCTAGCTAAACGGACCCCCTTCTAAAGTCTAAAACTCCAAGGGGCGTGAGTCCTCATCGCTGCGGTTAGCCCACGCTGAACCGGGTAGGGAGCCGGTTCAGGTGCCTCGTGCGCCACCGCAGCCAGGGCATAGGCCGTCTTGAAGCTTCTTCCTCTCAGAAGATTTTTGCAAGGCTACTAGCCACATAAACACCTGCAGGGCCTACTACCTACAGGCACCAGCATTGTCTTTTGCATCCACCGGGAGACAACAACTTCATGCGGCGAAAAACCTTGTGAAAGGCCTGAGATCTGGCGAGGCCCAGACGTGCTTCTTTTTGTCATGTGCCATTTAGGAATAGGCTGTAAGGTTTAAGGCTTGTATAGGGTTTAGGGGTTCAAGGTCAGGAGTTCACCTGATCCATCATCAAGCGTCCAGGCGGCTCTGCAGCCATGGCTGCGCAAGGTTTTTCTTGCGCATGCCTGGCAACATTGCAAAAGTGCAGACCTAGACAGACTGCACACAGTCTGTCTTGGAAAATGCCCAGGGTGATGGCGGAAATCCCGCCTCGCCCGGATGCTCACCATCATCATACTAAATCTAGGTGTGAAAGCTTGAACGCTGGGGGACGGCAACATCGTCCAGTCCAACGGCCATCGGTCAACAACCGCTGAACGGCTCTGCCAGCCGGTTCACAAGGTTGCGAAGGCCTGGCTAAAGATAAAAAACACTGTGAATGGATCTCCTAGAAAAGCCTGATGGTCATTAAATAATGCAGTGAACATGGCCAGTACTGATGGTGATGATAACCTGCTCAAACCTCTACTGCTATCACTGTGCCTGGTATTGTATATATTATCCGCATCAAGTTTAAAGACCACAACTCAGTGCAGCACAATAATATCCCTTCTGTGTTTGCTAGCCATGTTCATCCACGCTGAGATGTACTGGTTGTTCGGTGCTCTCGCAAGCTGCTATAGAACTGAGGCTTGAGTTGACTAAACACGCTTTTATCATATGGAGACACATTTCTGTAGGTTTGGAAAACATTCTACGAAGACCGATCTTGAATCAAGCGTGCTGTCAACAAAGCCATACAGTCACACGTGAACACGGCCAACACTGCGAAGAGCACAAGCATTGTCATCGGCGCAATCCCCCCTTCCAGGAGACACGACGGAGCTTGTCGCTGCCACGTGAGCCAACACTCCGGAGTGGCAAGCTGAGAAAAGGCAAACCCAAAGGGCTTTAGCATCACACCAGCTTTCGCTGGATGATCTGTATGCGTTTCTTAAAAGACAGTTAACAGCAGTTATTCACTGTGTCTGCCTTTCATGCGCCAGCTCACTGTACGCCCAAAGCCTGAAGAAGGTGATTCCACTGCTGGACGAGCTCTGCCTTGCTCTCATGGGGAAGGGCAAGGATGCGAGCCAAAGCAAAGGAGCCTGAAGAGCCGAGGGTTTAGGGTTTTACGGGTTTTTAGGGGGCCAAAACAACGAGGATAATTTCGGGGCTTACGGCTTAGAGGCACTATAGGGTTTAGGGTCTAGGGCCAAAGCAAAGGATCCTCCAGTGACGAGGACAGGAACCAGCTTGGCCAGCAGGGAGTTCGTGACACGAATGCCGTAAACATAGGTGCCAACTTCACTCTGCCTCATGTAGGCCACGAAAAGGTGCTGGCGGTGACGCTGCTGCCAAGTCAGTGTCCACTGAAGACTGTTCACGCTCACCACAGCACTGTCCTGCTGGTGGCCCACGGCCGCCGCCCGATGGAGAACATGCAGAGCGAGGCAACAGTTTGTGATGTTCATGATCAGATGTGAAAGCAACCAGTCGGTATTGTCTTGGAGACCCATCAACACCTCCGCTAGAAGCGGAAAAATGCCAAGAAGTGCAAAGGTTGACAAATGGAAGTATGCTGCGCCAGTCCAATGCGAGATCTCGCCGGCAAAGGCAGCAATGTACGCCCACCTTCAGCTGCAGAAAATACGTTGTTGTCACTCTACACATGCCCGAATATTGAAGAACCCAAGCCCAGGCACAACAACAACCAAAAAATGCCCATTACACAACTTGGAAATATTAGGTTGAGGCACCCTTCGTAGGCTGACTCAAAATCAGCCGGATCCTGGGCATACGAAACAGCAAAGAGATCCAGCAAAATCCTGGGCTGTTTTGTCTTAGACTGTTGTTGAAATTTGGGGCTTTCAGGTTTGGGATTTAGGAAAAGAAACCTTCGCCTAACTTCGGTAATTAGGGTTCTCAAGCTGTAACAATTGCTCCTTCGCAAGAGTCTGCAATACTGACATTGAAAGTCCCTTTTATTTTAACCTAGGATCATCATGGAGCGGTTCAGCCGGAGCAACACGAAGGCCCAGCCCAAGCGCTGGATTGCCGAGCTGATCGGATATGGGTGGGCGATCGATTTTGGGTGAAGTTGCACAAGAACCACGAAGCACAAGAGAAGGATGACGAGGTAGACACCGATCGGTAGCAGGTCAAACTTCAAGGAGGCCTGCAATCTCGAGCCCAGTGTCTTCTGCATTTCTGGGATCCTCACCTGCATGAGCTCGCGGAAAGCATCGGAACTGCTCACGGTTGCTAGCAGCAGGAAGAAAGCGACAGCCTCCATGGCATAGAGGGTATGGCTCCACTTCTCGTAGCCGGCGGTCATGTAGGATCTATAGCCGCACAGGGCACAAAAGCCCGCAGACAGCAGCTTGGCACTGATCCGCAACACCTTTGCCCTATGATCTGGGCATCCTCCTGGCACAAGCCCGATCGTTAGGTGCAGCACAGTACTTGCACAAGACATCAAGCGAGACACAACGAAGCTGTCGCCCTTTTGGGAGAAATCCGAAAGAGTCATGAGCGGCCGCTCAGCATTTGCAAGCAGGGTCCTGTTCGACCACCTCCTAACTTGCTTGATGGATTGGCATCTGCCAGGCGCATCCCAGGGAGTGTCTCGCGGCGGACATGGCACCACCGAACCTTGAGATCTCGTGACGAGAGCTCCTGGGAATCCACACCCCCGAAATGCTCCTCTGACGAATCTTGAGGTCTCGGTGACGAGAGCTCCTGGGAATCCACACCCCCAAAGTGCTCCTCTGACTCGCCGTCTGAAAACTCTACTGGAACGGATCCGACGACGTAGCAGCTTGCCGGTGGCTTCCCTTGTGACACTTGTGCTGTCACCGAAGGCAGGGAGCAGGGACTACCTACAGGCACCGCCACAAACTCGTCGTACTCCTCGGCCGGTGCTGGGACCACCGCGACGGCAGGCTTCATAAAGCTTGGAAGCAACTGACAAGGCCCCTTTTGGCCCTATTGAGGCTACGCAGCCTGCTACGAGCCAAGTGAAAAACTGCCAGCTGCGCCGGCAACATCCAGCTTTGAAGCTGAAGGGCATTCATCCACCCTAAACCCTACCTTAAATTACCCATAACCTTTCCTTTACTTTCTGTGCTAGGCTTTATCAAAGATAAGGGAACAAGCACAAGTACCTTATTGTAGCTCAGTATAAGGTTTAAAGTTGAAGCCGTACCTGTGCTTGTTGCATGCCTTGGAAACTCACTATAATGACAATAATGCAGACCCATGAATCAGCCCCCCTCTGAGAATAGCAATAAACCCTAAAACCCTAAACCCTAAACGCCCTAAAACCCTAAACCCTTA